AGGTTCGACAGCATTCAGCCGCCCCAGATTCATAGGGTTTTCACTCGGCACATGACCAAGGAGAGTAAAGAAGAGAAAAAATAGGGAGAATTGTACCAGTCGTAGCTATTCTGTAGTCCAGAATCAGATTTCCTTTCTGCTAGTCTATTCGATATGTTCTTTGGGTTGATCGATTTTCTCTTGACAGTAGGGTTGATCGATCTGCTCTCTTTTAATCAGCATTCCCGCTCTGAAACCATCTTGACAGTGTAGCCGGCCAGAGATAAGTGGAAGAGGAGAGAAGAGAAGAGAAGAGAGAAGGTTTGCAATGTAACAGTACTGGCGGCGCTAGTGTTTATTTTACTATATATAGGGCGACAGAAATAACAAGGGAAAAGACCCTTGTGCCCCTGAGTACAATAACAGACATAAGAGAAATAAAAAACGAAATAAAAAACACTTTAATTAGCCAAACAGGCCCTAACATCTGCAACTAAGTTATTTTAACATTATTCCAACACATTCAAAGAAAGAGGGAAGACTTGAGGGGGGAGAAAAGAGGAAATAGCCTCTTTTCTGTAACAGAAAATAGATTTTTAAGAGGCAAGTTACCCACCCAAGTATCTTCCCAAAAAACTAAATTACTAAAACAAACATCATACCTTACAAATTGGAGAAATTTGGGAAGAATGCCATGTATTGCCTTCCAAGAGGTTGATAGGGTAGCCCAACAAGATATTCCAGCATCCCAACCTGAATCAGAACAGCCATGAATACTAACCACCATCCTATGCCACAAACTCTTTGTCTCCACCGGCCATCTCCACAGCCACTTCCCAAACAAGGTTTCATTTTTAAGAACCAAACACCGTAAACCCAGCCCCCTCCCTCTATACTACGACTAACTATCTTCTAATTAATTGAATGGTCCTTTTTTCTTCCCCTGGTCCCCACAGAAAATCCCTCATCAATTTTTTCTAATTTTCTAGCCTCCCTAGAGGGGATCCTAAAAACAGAAAGGAAATACACCGGAAGATTGGTAACGTACCCTAATCAAAGTCACCCTTCCCCTCAAAGATAAATAATTCTTTTTCCATGTTCCCAATCTTTTTCCAAATTTCACCACAACTGAATTCCAAAAGCTAGGATTCCCACTCAAAGGTAAACCCAAATAAGTCAAGGGCCAAGAGGCAATAGAGCAGTCCAAGCAAGCAACAATGGACTCAACCTCACTATATTCCAAATTGACACCTACCACATAGCTCTTTTAAAAGTTGATTTTAAGGTTGGAGCACTCTCAAGACCGATTATTAGATCCTTAAGGTTTCTCACTATCCTCATATCGCTTCCCTCACAAAAAATGATAATATCATCCACAAACTGAAGATGAGTCACCGAAACACTATTTCTACCGATCTTCCAACCACTTATTACCTCCTCCCTATCTGCTTTGGAAATCCATCTACTAAGCACATCTGCCACTAGTGTAAATAGGAAAGGGGAGAGTGGATCGCCTTGTCTTAAACCCCTACAAGCTGGAAAGAATTCTTTTACCACTTCATTGACTAGCACAGAGTAATGAACCGAAGTGAGACATCCAAAGATCCAATTACACCATCTTTTCCCAAAACTATAAATCCTAAGTACCTCTAAGAGAAAGCTCCAAACCACAAAATCATATGCCTACTCAAGGTCCAACTTACAAGCAAAACCTCGACTCACAAATTTACTCATATCCTCCACACACTCATTTGCTATTAGTATTTGAATAGTAATTTGACTACCTTATACAAAAGCTCATCGTGCTTAGCTTATGAGAGAAGGTAAAACCACCTGATCCTCAAAGATAACACCTTTGCCAAAATTTTGTAAATGTTAGTCACCAAATAACAGGCCTATAGTCTTTAGGTTGCTTAGTATCAATCTTTTTTAGGAATAAGGAATAGGAAGGTGGCATTAATTACAGTGCTGATTATATCTCTTCAAATTCATTGAACATTCCAAGCAAGTCCCTCTTAACCATTTCCCAACAATCCTGATAGAAAATCATGGTGAAGCCATCTGGTCCTAGGGCTTCTTATCTATCCATAGAAAAAATTGCTTGTCTTATTTCCTCTTCTCAAAAAGGTTAAATGGCTAACAAGGAATATGATAATCATAGTTCAGCGGGTAGGCATATCAGCAAACTCAATGACTGATTCATTAGCAAAACAGGGGGTTTCTCGGGCTACTTTATTTTGGGCTTCTGTGTAATTTCTTTTGAACTTATAATTTTGTAACTAGTTTTAAAGGAAAGGTCGCACCTCGTGCCTTTCCATGGGTTGCCTGTAACTCTTATTTGCTGGTTTAATAAAATCTTACTCATATATCCAAAAAAAAATCCTTCCCAGCCAGCTTAAGCAACTCTCCTCCAACCTAGACCAATCTAAACCTTCCAATCTCTCTCTAGACAATAGGGGTCTTCTCAAAATTGACTTGAAATGGTCCACAAAAGGCCTTTCTATCTCTTCTTGAGACTGAATCACTTCTCCATCTACCTCTAGTTTAGCCACAAAATTTTTCCTCCTTCACCCATTAGCTACTGCATGAAAGTATTTGGTATTTCCATCACTTCCTTAATCCATTTGTGCCTAGACTTTTGCCTCTAGGAAATTCCTTTCTATAGAGGATATCTTCCAACTCCTTCAACTTCCACCTCAACTCTCTCTACTACTCATTCAGGATTCTTTGAGATTCCTTCTCATCCAATTCCTCAATATGGGAAATTAAAGTGGACATCTACTCCTCTAGTATCCCAAAATGATCTATGCTCCAGTTTTTATTTTGGACCTCAACATTTTCAGTTTCTTGTGGAACCAGACTCCTTTATACTTCATGCCCCTCAACTCCTCCTACCACCATTCTCCAACCTTCAGTACAAAGTCCATGTGTGTCAACCACATATTCTCAAATCTAAGAGACCTTGGTCGATCACGGCATCACCTAAAGGTTGTTGGCCTAACATTATAGGACATTGATCAGAGGTAACTCTAGGTAGGGCTTTTTCCACCAAACCCGTCCAAAGAATCTTCCACCATTAATTGAAGAGAAATTTCCTAAAAGTTAGACCACGTAAATAGGGTTTGCAACAAGGGGTCCTTTAATTGGCAATTATTCATAAAATTATTGAACTTCCCCATACTAGTAGTAATGGTTTGTTGAGGATTATTTGATTCTCTAATGAATCTAATTACATTTAAGTCCCCACCTAAACACCAAGGTCCCTCCCACAAACCATGAATTGCACAAAGCTCATCCCATAACTCATTCCTGTCTTTGTAACTATTGGACCCATATACATTGGTTAACACCCAAACTGCTCCATCCTCCAAGTTTCTAAATTTCGGAGAAACTAAAAATTTGCCTATTAATTCCTCCAAAACTTCCACCACATCTTCTTTCCAAAAGGTTACTATTCCCCCCGAAGCACCCCAAGAGGGAGCTGAAATCCAGCCCACACCTCTTGATTTCCACACTTCTTGCCCATCTTCGATCTAGCTATGGTAATTTAGTTTCCTGCAGCATCACAACATCAGGCTTTTTTCTTCTTAGTAGATCCTTTATATTTTCCTAGCACTCCCAAGCCCCCTTACATTCCAACTTATAGCTTTCATTATTAAGAGGTAAGGATAGACCCACCTTAGTCACTCCTAACTCACTACTTGGGAGCTTTCCTCCTCTCCCCTCTCCCACTGAATTCAATATCCCCTTTTTGCCTTTTCTTTCCCTTCTTTCCCCTTTTTGTTCTAGAATGTGCTTCAAAAATTGTTACTGTCTCAACATCCCGCAACTTACAATAAGAAACACGTTTTTCTAGAGTTGCATCTAAATACTCTTCCTTTTGCTTATAATCCGACAAAAGGGCACAAATCTGGTCCCAAATCCTTTCTAGTTCATCTTCCTTTCTTCTCTTAAGGTTTGACGATCTCTCACCTTCTTTACCCTCAAAGAATGGCAGTCTTATGGTATGTCTCCCTACCAGAGGACCGACATTCAAACTTAGCTTTTGTTTTAACCATTGCTTTGTCTTGCCATCTCAGGTACCCATTTGTCTCTTTCACTTCTTAATCAGAACCTTCATTCTTTTTTATCAATACAACAGAACCTTCATACACTGACAAATCAAATAAACTAATTATACAACAGCTCTATTACCAATGCTACTGAAAGTAATGGATGAGATGCATTAATTTCCAAAGCACATACATTGTAGTTCAAAACTTGGGAACTTCTATTTACAGGAGTGGCCATCTAGAAACATTACAATGGGCTCTTATACTGAGAGGGCTAGTTTTCTATAACAAAGCCTCTATGAAAGGCAACATAATAAACACAATAAGATCTATTATACATACTTCGAGAGTCCATAAACACCTAAAAAAGGCTATCCTTGAAAGATAGAAGACTGAAAGCTTGCACATAATCAATTCTTCCCAACACAACATATCAATTATAACTAAGGTTGTGGAAGAAACTAATCCATTGTTCATGAAAAGTGAAACTCTTCAGTGAATTTTGTTGATCCTCCAGTCTCCTTAATTTTTGGAAACAATACAATGTGGAGAGAATCAAATAGAAACATGGATTCACAAACATCTAGATGTCCTTATCCCAATGATTTCTTCAAGACTCTCCCCATCATATAACTGGAAAAGATAGTGTAAACATCCAAAAGTTAAAATTTTATTGTAATTATCAATCAAAAAATAAGTTTCTTTTTGTAATTAACCTCATAGAGAGTCATGCTCAGAAGACCTCATCCTCATGAATTGAAAAACTGCCTTCAAGAATTAAAAGGAAAGAAAAAAGGACAAGATAATGTGAAATTACCTCTACAACTATTGTTATCTGTCTTAGAAATATATTTTTCTCATCTCCATGTAGCCTCTCACTACTGACCGAGAGAGCTGATGATAACCATGAAATCAGACCACAATGCTCAACCAGATAACGAGCCAGGATATGTAACTTAACAGACTTCTTCAATATCTGCAATGAAAATCATGTAATTCTTGATTGAAAACTGGCAGCAAAGAAACAATATTGCAAAGAGATTTTTTTTTTTTTGAGTAAAGGAAAACTTTATTAAAAAGAAAAGGAGATACAATCTGAGAGGTGACAATGTGGCACCCACCAATGCAACACAACTGAGGACTAGAAAACAGAAACCGATCTACGAGTCTGGATTTCAAGAACATTTCAAAAATTCTCCCCGAAATTTGAACTACTAATATGAACAAATTCAGGAAGTACCAGAACCCAAACCGACACAAGTTTCCCCACCAGGGCCATAAGCAATTCAATATTTTCAAAGTGAAGTTTGCCAAATATTTAAAAACTAAACCATAAGATAGAGTTACAATGTAACTCCTAGTTTTCAAATATATGCATATGAACATAAAAACCTTTGACTAAAATCAAGTAACCACAGTTGATGTACACCATATGCAATTCAAAGCAACAAATATCAACTTTTCATATAACTCCTCCCAATCCCCTGTTGAAAGCAAGGTATGCAGCTAAATCTAATCTTCTACTTACAGAATAAATAATATGGGATGAAAATGTAAAAACAATGCCAGAATGGGCAATTTCCAAGTGACCACCTTCAGGCAGTGCTGAGTTTCAAAGGCAAATGACATATGTGCAGATATGCCTTAATGGGGCCCTACCAGTGACGCCAAAACCAACATGTTAAGGTCCTTTAGGATAAAAGACAAACCTGGGCAGACCATAGAGCTATTCAAAAATTTCTCCACGAATGAGATTCTAAGAAGTTGGGCTGAAGTAGCACAAACAGATGCACCCAAAGTAATTGTGAGAGTGGAACGGAAGCCACCGGCAATGAACAAACTAAAGCTAAATTTTGATGGGAGTTCCTTTGGTAACCCAGGAAGGGCAGGCGTAGGGGGTGTGATTAGAAATCATCTGGGTGTGGTGGTGGCACTCTTTTCAGGAATCTTCAGAGAATTTGACATACTTGCAAGGAGGATCAACTCTCAGTTTTGTTGGGTCAAACGGAATGCAAATGGGATGGCGAATACCCTAGCAAAACAGGGGGCAAATAGATCTACCTTGTACAGGGAAGAACTGTAGCTGATTGTATGTGGTTGCAGATTAGATTAATGCTTTTCTGCAACCTATAACTATTGTAACTGATTGTAACTTTTTCTCTGTTATTAATTAAAAACAAAATTTTTGCTGATCCAAAAAAAAGACCAACCTGGGCTCTCAAGTGTAGGGAGAGTGTTCAGAAATGAAGTTGGGATCATCCTTGCAGTATACTCAGGTCCAATTAAAATGGGAGACTCAATGACAGCAGAGGTGAATTATCGATCAAAAAAAATGACAGCAGAGGTGAAGGCAATCCTAACTAGGTTAAGATTCATTGAAAAAAATCCTAACTAGGTTAAATTGGCTAAAACATCAGGAATATATTAAGAATTGACTCCAAGGTGATCATAAACTGGGTGAATGGAAATAAGGAGTATGGAGACTCAGACATATCTTCATGGAGATTCAGCTCTTAATGTCCTATTTAAATTTCTCTTCAGTGTGGACACCTAGATCTGTAAATGCTCTGGCTGATGGCCGAGCCAAAATGGGGCTCAATAGAACTGTTCTGTTCTGGGGGCTGATCAATATAGTATAAGTTGCATAGTTATGTAATGATGGGTAGGCTAGCTCATCAGGGGCCATTTTCTGCCTTGTAATGTTTTTTCTTTAGTTAATGAATTCACTCTTTCTTTTTACTGATAAAAAAAATGGAACAAAAACAGTGCTCAGTATGGACACATCCAAGTACCCACCTTCAGGCAGTGCTGAGTGTTCCAGAGGCAGATAATATATGTGCCTATGCCTAAGTTGTGGCAAGATTATATCAATTATCACTATGCCAATGTGTTATATACATATAACACCCATTACATACTGAAGATACAAAAATGAAAGCTAAGCAATGATAAAAACCTGAAGAAGATCAAGAGACAGAAACAGAAAAGATTCCTCCAACAAAATACCTATTTGCTTTTTCATAGCTTTTGAGCACATCCCCCCACCCCACCCCAAAGTGCTCAACAACTTTCCTACATATGGTTTGGGTAAACAATATAGATGCCCAGATATATGGAATACCTTAAATTCTCTTTGGATCAGTAACTGAAATTTTCTATAAAAAATGAAAATAATAATCAAACACTGAAAGGGAGACAAGGCTTTTAAAAAAATGGCTAGGCTAGAGGCTAGTATGCCCAAATAGAAAACCCCATTAAATTATAACATCAGAGATACATACTCTGTTCTGTAGATAAGAAATTGGTTGATTAATTCAAGCATTTTCAAAGTGCAGAGGTCAAAATAGAAGATTCAAAATCATCCTGAAAATCGAGCATGCTGCAAATCGGTGTGTGATTATTTTTAAGATAAATAAGGAAAAAAATCTATTAACTAAGAAGAAAGAGAAGAATACAACCGGTGATAAGGCATCACCCAAAATGGAACAAAACAACTGAGACCCAAAAAACATCTATCATGCAGAACTCAAAGCACCCCACACCGAACACAATCCCAAACGAAACTCGAAACACCCCACACCACTCCCAAACAACCAAAAAGAAAATAATAAAACCCCAAGGAAGACCCCCCAGCTCGCCTTCCAAAGATCAAACCCAGAGAAACCTCACTATCTGAACCACCTGCCCAAAGGAACAAAAGACACTCTTCCCTAACCTCCATCAAGATTGTTAGCAACCTCTTTCTTTTTTATCCCCCCTGAACGTTCAATTATGAGATTCCAAGAACTGTAAACCATTTTTTCCAATGAAATCATAAGATCCTCAAAAAAAATCACAAGGAAAACCAAGGTGAACTAATTACCTCAAGAATCAGTATTTGTGAGTCATAATCTGAGAAAGAAGAAAAATAAAAGCCAAGTAAAATCTCAAGGAGGAGCTTCCTGATAAATATTTGAGCATCAAGATCTAAATTCAGCCCTGCATATGAAAGGCGAAGTATCCATAACCTGTCTGTTTTGAAACTAACAGAAGTACTCCCAAAGAAAGTGTTGAATAAAGGTACGCACTGCATACAAAAGTAAAACAGATGTATAAGAATTGAGGCAATATTTGTACAGTAGCAATGACATAAATATAGTGAACACCATCTATTAATTATATCAAGTATAGCCTCATAATTAAACAAATAAATAAGTAATGAATAAGTAAATGATTTGACCATCCAACAAGGATATGAAATTAGAAATTCATTTCAATCAAGCTATACATATACCTTCAAATTAACTCTAGGAGATCGCATCAAAAGTTTAGTTATGGTTGGGTAATGATCATGTGAAGGATCTAACAATATCAATGATGCCTCAGCAGAAAAAATAGCTGTAATGGAAGGAATTCTCTGCCATGGCTCATCTATTCCATTTTGCAAATATGTCAAAAGAAGCCGAAAGCGTAATCCCTCCTTCCGGTTTCGACAAACCTGTAATGCGGAGTTCAGGTTAATGGATATATGCAGGAAATAAGAACTTACATCCTATGATACCCGGATACATGTACAAGGGTGCAGTATCATGTTGGATACTTCCACTTTTAAGTGTGAATTCTATATCCAACACATTGTCTAGCAATATCCTTGCCATATCTGGGTAACATAGCTTACATTTCAAATATCTAGCCACTAAAATAAACAAAAATGGTATGACCACAATGACATTTTATTCATAACATATCCAAAGAAAACCGCTAACAATACATTCTTACAAATACCAAATAGAAACACATTATATGAATTGCCAATTGGTGAATGATTACGAGTCTCATCCATTTAATTATAGGCACTGTGTTACAATGCTACAAGTTTCAGTCAAAATGAGTATAGAGCATCAGATTCTGTGAAACTCACAAAAAAGTATGTGTGCATATTCAGCAGAAGTATATCTAAATTAAGCAGATGCAAAAGGACTATCATTCCAAAATGGAATATCTGACTGGGTGTATATTTCATAAAATGATCCCAAAATGTAATCAAGATTTTTTTTTTTTGATCAGTGAATATTCAGATTTATTAAATCAAAGTCAAAGATAGTACAACTTAGGGAGAGGCACGAGATGCCACCTCCCCTTTAAAGAGGGGAGATGGAAGAAGCCATCAACCCTTTAGTTAAAGAACATAACAAAGGAAGATGAAAATTACAATGAAGCCCAATACAATGAAACCCGAGTAGCCCCTTGTTTAGCAAGATAATTAGCCAAGGCATTAGCTGATCTACAAAGCCACTGAACTCTAACTGTCATGCCCCTCAATAGCCATTTGACCTTTTTTTAAAATATCCTTAAAGCTCCAAGTGACAGTACCCGGGTCAGCCAATCATCCTACTACCACCTTGGAGTCTCCTTCAATTATTAAGTTTTGCACTCTGAGTTGATAGGCAATCTGTACCCCCTGTGCCACAACTAGGAGTTCAGCCCTCACAGAGTCTCCTATTCCCATCGGTCCCAAAAAAAAGGCAATGATATTGCTGTTCCCATCTCTCAATACACCACCAATCCCACACGGTCCTAGGTTACCCTGACTACTTCTGTCAAAGTTCAGCTTAACAAAACCCTCCATCGACGGAGTTCAAGTTACTTGGACTCTAGGCTTCCTAGAGGAAGTGAGGGCAACTGCAGACCAATTCCTCATTAAATCCTCAAAGGAATAATCTTCAAAGAGCTTTAAGGATTTCAGCCACAAAATAGTCCTTGTAAATACACTCTTTGACCTCAAGAATGCTTCTTTCCTTCTATAAAATTTTGGAATTTCTCTCTTCCCAAATAGTCCAAAGGAGAGCTGCTCTTATACACTTCAACATGACTCTCCCTCTTCTTGTGGTCCACACAAAGGTAGAAGGGGAAAACAGCAAATTTACCTCAGTTGGCAAGTTCCACTTGCACTCAAACAAATCAAATACCCAATTCCAAATGGTTGCAGCAAAAGGACAAGAAATCAATAAGTGGTAACAGTTCTCATTCTGCGCTTTGTACAAAATACACCAGTTAGGAGATCAACACAAAAAAGGACTTTTCTTTTGCAGGTTATCCAACATATTGATTTTACCCAAGTAAACTTCCCAACAAAATACAGCAATTTTTGGGGGAATTGGCCTAGACCAAACTTCCTTAACCAGGAAAGCCCGAGGAGAAGAACTGAAGCAAAGGGAAGTAAAGAAAGATGCACAAGTATACAGCCCTTTCAGAGTCAAAGTCCAAATCCTCCCATCAGGATTTAGTGGGTCCAAGCAAGTAGAATCAAGTAACAATAAGAGCTCAAAAACTGATAAGGATTCCTCATCCCTCAACCCTCTACGGAATCCAAGGTCCTAATTTGTCGACAAAGGGATATACAGGAGCAAAAGAAAGGAAGACATAGGTTCTTTTTTATAAAGGGAAATAGAGAAAAGAGAAGGGAACAGATCCTTAAGGGGCAAATTTCCCACCCAAGTGTCTTCCCAGAAAAGAACATGAGTCCCAAAGCAAGCATCATACCTTATAAAGCATAGGAACTGTGGGAGGATGCCATGAATTGCCTTCCAAGGTGTTGCAAGAGTTGCCCGTCTGGATATTCGTGCCTCCCAACCATTTCCGGAATACGCGTGGATACTTGCCACCACTTCATGCCATAACCTCTCCCCCTCTAAAGGCCATCTCCACAACCACTTACCTAGAAGGGCTACATTCTTGAAAGTGATATTTCCTATTCCTAATCTGCCTTCCTCCTTACTTCGACTAACTATCTCCCATCTAACCAAATGATCCTTCTTCTCTTGCCCCGGCTCCCACAAAAAGTCCCTCATCATTTTCTCTAACCTCTTAGCTTCCCTAGTAGGAATCTTAAAGACAGACAAAAAGTAGACCGGCAGATTAGTAACTGTGGATTTGATCAAAGTCACTCTACCCCCTACAGAGATATAATTCTTTTTCCAGCTTGCCAACTTCTTTCCAAACTTTTCCACAACAGGGATCCAAAAGCGGCTTTCCTTTGGGTTAACTCCTAGGGGAAGACTTAGATAAGTTAAGGGCCAGGAAGAGGTGGAGCACTCTAAGCAATCTGCAATAGCCTCTGTTTCTTGAGCATCCATATTGACTCCCACCACACAACTTTTTTCAAAGTTGATTTTTAGATTTGAGGCCTTTTCAAAAACATTAATTAAATTCTTAAGGTTCCCAACCTTCCTCAAATCGCTTCCTTCACAAAAGATTATAGTA